TTTCTTTTTTGTTATCTACAGATGTGCTGTGATTTTGTCTACAAATCTTCCATCAGCATAGTGAATACGATTGTGCAAGGAGGTTTTGGCATGATTCTAAAATCCCACTCAGTTTCCTGGCATTCTGTGATAGTATTCCTGCTTCCAAAACTGGGTCTGAACATGTTCTAGTGACTAAGCGAGCCTAGTATCTAGCCAGAGGCCAGATAGTGAGGATGCATATAGTGCCTTGGAATAGAATATGCAGTGGATCTGTGGCATGTTGATAACCTAGTTTATTTGATGCAAATTACTAATTAAAATTTATAGCTACAAAATTTATTTTTCAGCACCATCTTTTGGATTTTTGCACCTTAACACATTTTTTAAATATCTTGGTATACTATTAGAAGTGGAACTGGAAGATGTAAATATATTGGTATTTTTATTTGAGTGGCTGATTAGATTTTTTTTTTCTTAAAGGGTTAGTTTACGGAAAAAGGAAAATTATGTCATTAATTACTCACCTTCATGACGCTCCAAACCGGTAAGACATTCGTTCATCTTCGGAACACAAATTAATATATCAGATTTGATGAAATCCGAGAGCTATCTGACTCTCCATAGACAGCAATGTAACTGAAATGTTCCCAGACCTAGAAACGTAGTATGGACATCATTAAAATTGTCCATGTGACATCAGTGGTTCAACCATAATTTTACAAAGCTATGAGAATACTTTTTACGAAAAAATAAATAAATAAAATAACGACTTTAGTCAACAATTCTTCTCCTCCAGGTCAGAAAGCTTTCAGATATAATAAAAAATATCTTAATTTTTGTTCCTAAGATGAACGAAGGTCTTATGGGTTTGGAACGACATGAGGGTGAGTAATTAACGACAGAATTTTCATTTTTTTGGTGAACTATCCCTTTAAACTGTATTTCATAGAACTGTGCATACTCATTATCCCATTGGTTAGTTCTAGGATTCAAAACTCTACCAAGGCCATGCAGTAAACCAGCATAGACAAACCCCAGAACAACATATGAATAGCTCGCAGCATGAGCAGGATTTAATATGTTGAATAAAGTAGGCTTTTCCTTATAAACAGAAAAGCCTACTTCAAATTTTTGCTGCGAATTATGTTGTCAGACTGAAAAGCTACGAGACAAAATTTAACTCTGTGCTCGGTTGCCGTCTGTGTTACTCTAAAATGTGTCTCAGCATGGAAGTGAACTGTCTTCGTGCCACCAAACAGTCTTTGACTGGTTTTAATTTGTGCGTCCTTATGGCACACATGCTATTGTTATCTCTAAAGGTGGCAGAGTCTGCTTTTTCCTTGATGAATCTATTAAAAAGCCCTACTTACATTACATGTTTAAAAAAGTAAATTAGCAACAAGGGTATCAGAAACTGTAGCATCATCTATGTTTGAAGAAAGATGAAATTATGTCATAGTTAAAATTTAGTCTGTTTCAAGTGAATAAACTCAGTAATACTGCCCTCGGTATTGACAGGGTCATCTACTCTTTAACTCATATAAAGTAAACCCTGAAGAAGACATGTCTCAGTAAACAGTCCTTTACCAGTGGAGTGTGGGTCCTTTTACAGTAATGAGTTTTGAAAGCTTTCTCTATTTGCCAGTTATTTTTCCCCTGTGCTTACCCATGAGTAGAGCTCGATGTTTTCCTCTGGCCAAACGACAGTGGGGTTTGGAACATCATGGGCTTTTTGTGCTTAGAGCTAAATTGTGGCCCTCTAAATCTATTGCTGTGACAGTTCAACCCCAATCTGAGTTTACCTAACCCTTTGAGACTAGTTTTGTCTACCTCCATGTAATCACCATACCCAAGACTCCCTGGAGTCAAGAGTACTTAACGGTAAGCTTCAGGTCAGATTAGTCCACAAGTGTCATTTATTCAAATATAAGCCCACTGTTTGTTGCTGAGGATTGTGGCTGTGGAGCATCTGTTTTTTTTTTTATAATTAAATTAATTGTGATTACTGTACATCTGATTATTTCTTTGTGGTTAATTCAGTTAATCTCAAGCATGATACACACACACACATGCATGTATAGTATGTATTTATGCAAACTTTACATTACAATGCTTGTCTGGATCCAGAACACCTGAGAAGAGATGATGCCAACCCCTCAGAGGACCTCAGATGATGCCAACCCTGCAACAACATACAGAACTACCAAATTTTGCTATAAGTTTGATTATTAACCGACAGTCACCACTGATAAGCTACTACTAAATACTGTAGAAACCTAATTTGCTGTAAAGTTGCTTTGCAACGATTTGTATCGTGAAAAGTGCTATACAAATAAACTTGAATTGAATTGAATTGAATTGGCCTGACAATTATAAAAATGCAATTTTTAAAAAATTAAATAGTACAGTTCATATAAATATGTAATATAAATATACAAAGTATCTTATTTAAAGGGTTAGTTCACCCAAAAATGAAAATTAGCCCATAAATTACTCACCCTCAAGTCATCCTAGGTGTATATGATTTGCCACTTTTAGGGTATCAGCCAAAACGTGCTGTTTTTGTGTTTGTCCCCTTTAAATGAAAATGAGCTGGTGCTCCCGCCTCCCTTTTCAGAAGAGTGCGGAGCTTCAAGAGCTCATGCTCGCGGGCATACCGGTGTTACGGTTTAACTGGTGGTGGCCGTGTTACTGACCTCACATTGCTTCCAAATTGGTATCGATCCCTCTTTCAGAAGCAATCTTTGCACAACTCCAGCTCTGAACTGACCCTCGTTTGTGAGGCAGTCCGGCATAAATGTTAGCACAAATGTATAAGACTTTTCCGTTTTTTTTCCGGGACATTTCCTTCGAAAATTAAATTTAACCACTGTGTCCTCAGCGGTCTATGGAGACTCCTATGTTCGTTGGTGCATCCCAACACACGACACTTTTAATGGCTCTTTGGCGATGACATTGTACCTCCAGCAGCTACAGCAAGAAAACAGTAATGGCGGACCGCTGCTTCTCACTCAGGGCTGTGTAATGTATATGCTAATAGGGCAGAGAGCGTCACAAATGGGCGGGACTTTCCCCGAGTATGACGTCATAGTAGTGAGAAATCTGGAACTGCTCGTGTGGAGAGACTGTCTATGATTTATTGGGATTATAAAACAATGAGTGGGTGGATTTTTACCATTATAGGCTGGTTGTTTTCACACACTGCGGCCACACAACTATGTTCAAACACCTTATAAAAGTGATTTTTGCATTCTATGGCAGAAGCAGCTCCGGGCTGATGATGTATGAGTTCAGCGTTGCGCATACACCGGTGAGTCTCGTGAAAACCAACGTTTGTTAACAGGAGCAAAGGAAGCAAAGTTTCCTTACTTTAGCAAAGGA